ATAATAATAATAATAATAATAATAATAATAATAATAATAATAATAATAATAATAATAATAATAATAATAATAATAATAATAATAATAATAATAATAATAATAATAATAATAATAATAATAATAATAATAATAATAATAATAATAATAATAATAATAATAATAATAATAATAATAATAATAATAATAATAATAATAATGATAATAAACAATGACAAAATTATAGCAATAGTAACAAGTACCTTAATAATAATAAATGCTGCACTGCTTTAGTTGAACAATTTGCAGTTAATTAATAAAATGGTTAATCATTATTTGCTCGTAATTTTATTTTTCTTACCTTCCTCTTTCAGCACTATCCATATTGATAAGGACTGTGATAGGCAGAATGATAAATTGTAAAAGCAACAATTATTAGCAATCACTACTTGATAAATGAAGATGCTTCGTCGTTTACTTCAATATTTCATTATAATTAACTTATGGTAAAAGTTAATTGTTGAAGTAAAATAAAACTGAATAAAGCTGATGTGATGTGAATTGAAACACGGAGGAAGCAAATGGAAAAAAAAACTACAGTATCTAAATATTGGCTTACCTTCCGGTTTTAGTCACAATCATTTCGGTACCGTATGCATGGAATTTATTCCATAATGTGGAACCTTCCAAACGCATGGATACATTGCGCAGTGCAGGATGATAATCTTTCAGCATAACAGGTGCTTTCTTCGTAATCAAAACATGATTGGAATTATTCTGAGTAGCATTAAAGCTATTGTCACTGCTAGGACCAGTGTTAGGCATAGTTCTCGATATTACAGGAAATAGTTTCAGGGTACCTGATATTCGAGTTTTATCCGCACGATTGTTATGAGGTTCAGTGTCATCGTCATTATCGGTTACGGTATCACCGATCAAATATGCGATGCTGAAAGGCTTCCTAGACATGTTGACGCCTTGGTGAGGAAGTTTCACATCACAATAAAGCAGCGATAGCTGATGTTACTACAAGTGGCGATGGTGGTGGTACTGGTTGTGATGGTACTGGTGTTAATGTTATCGGAGAATTGGGGCGTCGTGGATTGTAGAAATGATGGGATGAGATTTCGGAAGCATCAGGGAAAAAATAGAATTTTCGATTATTTGTCTCGAGAATGTGAGGGCAGCAACGATAATGATAATGATGATGATGATGATGACAGTGAAAAGATAATAATGATAATGATAACGATAAAGTGATGATTGTAGTAATGCCAAGCTCATAGGGATTATCAAAACACGTGGTGGAATGGAAAATTTTATTGGAGTGTGCTATCATTACCATCTGGCAACAATATTACAGTAGTATTAATAAAAGCTTTTCACATATGATCCTCACAATATACCGTACGATTGATAGATGTGAAATAGCATCCTGTCGATCTCATCAATCAAATGGTGATGATGATGATGTTGATAATGATAATAATGATGAGAGGAGAAGAAGGAGAGAAGAAAGATGACAACGGTTGGAAAGAATCTTACACTGATTAACATATATCACTGATTCAATATCAATCAAACATTTTTTTTTTAAAACAAAAAAATTGCCAATTTTCATTCAGCTATTTTACATACTAATCTTTTTTTTATTAAAAGAAACGTTTCCCAAAAAAAAGGAAATGAAAAAATTGTTCGTTTGACACAAATGAATAATTAGTTGGTGATTAATAATCAGTTGAAATGGATAGTGCGAAGTATCCCTGACTGCTTTCATATGCGAAGAAGACGAAGACAAGAGAAGCTTTAAAACGATCGTACAATCATTCTTATCACTAATGATTAATAATCAAATGCTTGTTACGATGACATTTAATCTTTTAGAAATCAAAATTAATAATTTATTGTGAATGACTTATATTTGAAAAATGTTTAGTATTTTTCTCAGTTAGAATAGTCTGGCAATGAAAACAAAATTCCTTTGCGGGAGTAATTAAATGCTTATGAGATTTTGGACTTTATAATCCAGAATTCACTTTATTACCTGCATTCGATATTACTTAATTGCATCTACAGTTTATTAATTACTGCAATTTAATCGCTCTAATTGTTGTAAATTATGAGGATCCTATTTTGGGTATGCAATTCTTGCATTTTTCCTTTGTCTTGAAAAAATTTAATAGTTATTCTAGACAATATCAGTTGTCAAATTCGTGTCTAATTGTGTGAATTTCGATCTTATCAAATTTCGAAATTCAATATCAATCCCGTCAGGTATCATCAGTATTTGTCAGGTGGTATAGTTCGCTTATTTGCCTGTATTGTTTCCATTAAACCGTTTATAAACGATCGTTTTGCTTTTTGTTTTCCTCATCCAATAGAATGGTAGTTCATGATGGATTAATAGGCCACTTAACGATTAAACAGTGGGAGAAAGATGATGTTACGGAAACATCTGGCAACATACTGACAGTCCCAAAGAATCCATCCTTTCTCTATATTTCAAAATGTTTTCAAGATGTTCCGATCTAATGAAGATTTATGGGTCGGAAAAGTTTACAGCATTCTTTCCAAACGCACCATCGTAAAATATTTTTAACGATTCTTGATTGGTTTACAATGATTTTTAAAGTTTTCTTATTTGTTATTCCTTCTTGATTTTACGATGGATAGAGCGTTTGGACTGACCAAAGATCTTTTGATACGCATTTTTATTACTGCAAATATTAACAGTAATAGTAACATGATAATTTCATAACATTAACAACAACAATAACAAACAGCACTAACGATGGTGTCATTTTATTTACAATAGAAAAAGTAAAATATAACTGTTATCATCACTCGTCCTGCTTTATCTGCCTCGCTACAAGAAGATAGTCCAATGTGTACCTATTTTGATCAACCCTGAAAATTGCACATATTTGTCAAAATGAGATTTGAGCGATAACAAATTTCGCTAAAAGGACAACTTTTTAATACATATATATTTTTTCTCTTCAGCTGAACCAATCTATAGCAAATAATAAATTGCATGTTGAACCAACAATTAATTTCAAACCAATAAAATTCAGTGCAGTCCGAGACTTCAGCCAATTACTGGAATCATTGTATGGAATCCCAAAAATCCTTACATGTAATATTAATTAATTCAAAACTTTTCCTCTGTTAGATAACAAGATGGTGCACTGCACTATGTTAAGACTTACAGCTTTGTTATTTGATTTGCATAATCGGATAAACGTTGTTGTAGTGCAGTTAGAGAAGTTATATTTGCAGCTCGGTTAAGCTTTATTTGATATCCGTACTCCATTAGCAAACTTTTTAGCCAAAGCTGCCAAAAATGAATATGCTTCTCAACGGGACCGCTAATGTTTTCAGCGAGCCATTTCAGTAATTTCTCGGCATAAGCAATAGACAAAGAGCGCGTAGCTATATCGACTGAAATAACATTCAAAAAATTACCCCTTAAATTGAGTGTAACTCTCCTTTTATGATAAAACAAAGAGCATAAAGTGATACTGCAGTCAAAATATGAAAAAGGAAAGCAAATCAGAAAATTTGAAAAATATGAATAATCAGTTCGTGAATTATTTGCGAAAAATATGGATTAACTTGTTTTAACGCTAGTAAAAACAAACTGTGATTTTTGAAAATCTTCTAAATTTTGAAAGATCATTAAAAAAAGATGAACGTACTCTGCGCTACAGGTGTACACAGTAAAACATTTTCGATCATTTCAGCCTGATTCAACTGTAGTACCATTTTCAGTGCTGCCGAATACTCACCTTCCTTTAAGGCATTTTCAACACTGACCGGAGTTACCTGTATCCCGAGCTCAAAAGGATTAAAAAGATTACGATGGTCAAGCGAGAAAACAGCAACGCCTTCTGTTGAACAAACTGCAAAACTACGGCCTGAAAAAAATTAATTGCACTTCTTGATTCTTGAGAAAAAAAGTAGCGTTCTGATATCAATCTTTGAAATGATTACCATATTTGTAAAATTTCCGAAGCTATCCGCAAAATTATGAGTTGATTACCTGTAGGTGAGAAATTTATATCTTCGACGCGCATTTCTGGTCGAGAGCATCGCTCGGAAAGATCTGAATGTCGGGTGCCCGGGAGTTTTATACGTTTCTTATTATCTGCTTCTTCTTCGCTATCGCTAGCGTCAATTAACATCATATTGCCAAATTCCGAGAAATTACGCCGATTTATATCCATCTAAAATCAAGGTACATAGGAATGTAAAGTCGATTCAAATTTCTATAAACTTTCAAGTAACTAACCTTAACGCCATCCAAACTACGATTTGTTGTTAATTTCAATTTTTTTAATATAAGACGTTCCACAACGCTGTACAAACATATGTAATTCGATTGTCCAGCAGCAAGAAGTAATGTACCATCAGCGGAAAAACATATACACGTGAATGTTCTAGAAAAAATTACAACACAGTCGTTCTCAAAAACGAGTGATGAACCATCCCTCATATATCTTTTAAGATTTGAGACAAAACTGAAATTACCTGCTCTTTTCACCTGTCTTCTTTTTAATAAGATCAGTGGCTCTGCGTGCAGCATCAACATCGAAAGCTGTGTCTATTGATCCAAGCTCTGTCGATGTTCGAGTATCAAAAAGACTCACCGACGAATCAAGACATAATACCTAGAATATAATGTAGCATTTCTTGAAAAATTGATTCAAAGTTACCGAAATCACTAATTCGAAAACGAACTTACAGCAAGTATTTCACCTCCAGGAGAATAAGCTACGTCAAGACCTTCGTAAAGTAAATCAATGGACTCTGCTATTGATGACTCAACAATATTCCATATGCGAAGAGTTTTATCCCAGGATGCCGAAGCCAAATGTGTACCTGGAAACTCAAATTACATGTATAGTTCATTCTGAAAGCAGTTTCAGAATGATATATATATATATATATATATATATATATATATATATATATATATATATATATATTATATATA